TGCATATTGCATGTTGTTAGTGAGTTAAGAGATTCACAGCAACACTCATGGAAGCAGCAGTCAAACGTATCCCATCTTGTCAAACATATTGCAGTAGGCAAATCTGCTATAAAAGACCTCTTGAAAGAGTTCAAGAGTAAAGATATCAGTTTGAGGACTAAGGTATGCCTGACCCATCTCAGTTGCCTCACATGTATGTGAAAGTTGGTCAGTGAATACAGAAAACTGGAGAAGAATTGATGCATTTGAGTTATAGTGTTGGAGAATATTGAAAGTACCACAGACTTCCAGAAGAATAAACAAATCTGCGTTGGAAGAAGTGCAGCCAGAATGCTCCTAGAAGCCAGGATGGTGAGATTTCTTCACTCATATTTTGGACATGTTATCAGGAAGGACCAGTCCCTGGAGGAGGACATCATGCTTGGTAAAGTGAAGGATCAGGGAAAAAGTGGAAGACCCCCAACTAGATGAATTGCCCAAGTGGCAGCAGCAATGGGCTCAAATGTAACAACTGAGAAGATGGTTCAGGATCAGGTAGTGTTTTGTTGTGCTGTTCATAGGATTGCTATGAGTTGGAACTGACTCGATGGAACCTAACAGTAATAACAAGTCCTCCTCCAATCCTGATGCCATATTCTTCATACAGTTTAGCATGCAGGTTGACTAAGTATTGTAAAAGCATACAACTCTAACACACACTTTTCTTGATTTTAAACCACACAGTATCTGCTTGCTCTGTTAGAACAACTGGCTCTTAGTCTATGTACAGGTTCCACCTGAACACAATTAACTACTCTGGAATTCCCATTCTTCACACTGATGCCCATAATTTGTTATGATTCACGTAGTCAAATGTCTTTGCATAGTCAATAAAAGATAAACAAATTTTTTCCGGTATTCTCTGCTTTCAGCCATGATCCCTCTGGGATCAGCAATGATCCATCTGAGATCAGCAATGATATCTCTCTTTCCATATCCCTTCCTGAATCTGGCTTGATCTTCTGAAAGTTCCCTGCTTATCGACTGCTTCAACCATTTTTAAATTAACTTCAACAAAACTTCCTTTGTCTGTGACAATAATGATGTTAAATAATTTCCACATTCTGTTGAATCATCTATCTTTAATGGGCACAAATATGGATCATTTCC